TTTTATAACTTAATTTTTATATTTTCAAAATTAAAACAAGCTATATCTCTTATTACATTTTTTATTATACTTACATCAGCTAACTGAGCTTTATTTAAACCTGGACGTGTAGAAACCTTATAATGCCTTTTGTACCGCCTTAGTGTACCTACTTGTAATTGGAAAAGATCAACTTCAGGAAGGTCATTGTCAGTTTCACCTGAGTCTTCTTCTGAATCCTTGCGTCTGCGCTGTTGCTGTTGTTTAGATCTTGCACATTGTATCACTTGCTTATGATAATCACAAATGTATATATGACGTGCCTATTGATAAATAAGATATGTAATTTATTTAATATGTAATATAGTTTGTAGATAATATTAAGGATAGGACATCAGTAACATAGATATTCGATAACATTTAACTATGTACATATGTTGTCAATACTTAATAAGTAATTTACATCACTATAACCTTATGAGTTGCTCCGTGAATGTAATCATTTATAAAAAATTTGAAAGATCTAATTACTATGAGTATAAAGGTTATGTAGCAGTGTATAGAAGTAATAATTTATCTTTTATTAATTGATTAATTAACAACATCTACAATTATAAAAAAGAATGTAATTTCAGAATAAACTCGAAAGGAAACATGATGTTTGTACATACTTAGTGTAACTTTTTGTTATTAATCTTACCACTTGATCAAGATTAAGTTTCAATCGCCGTTGAGTTACAGTTTTTTGAATACGTTTGCTATATGAAGCGTTGCCAGCTGGTCGAGTGCATCGTTCACCCTCATCTACAAGGCAACAAATTTGATCAGCAGCTCCTCTAGAATCTTCTTCACCGGTACTGAATCCATTCATTTTTTTTTATTCTTAACATCAACTAAATCGGTATGAAGAGTATTTAGAACTTTAACAACCTCGAAATGTCTCGATGTATGTGTTTGTATAAAAAAACGGCGAGTCTGAAAATAAAATATACTCGGCGATGTCTACTTTTCACACTCATTTCTTGTTGAATTTCATTTGTTATAAATAATTTGTCAACAAAATTTATTTCTCAATTGCCGGTGCAAAAAGACTTTTATTATGTGATGTTTATTCTTTTATTTAATGCAAAGATTCAAGCTCACAAATCGATAATTTAAACAGTAGAGTTTGCGTATTACGAAAATCTCCATGTTAAACGATGTCGTATAACGTTTCACTTTCTTTCAAACAATTTAATGTACGATTTATTTTTATATATCTGTTGCATCAAGTACTTTCAAAATTTTATTAGAAGACAAACACTTAACACTACTATTTTCTGGCAATACGTCTATGTTTGACAGATTTCTTTGAAACCCTATGAAATACAGCACTTCACTCGACTTTACCACGTTTTATTATTTACACATCTACATTAACGCGTACGACTGACGAAGATGCGTATGCATACATATGTATAATTTGTGGTCATGCTGTTTACACTATATATAAT